CCCGCGGGGGTGAGAAGCAAGGGAGGCGGCGGGCGAGAGGGTGGAGACCGCAGGCGCGCGTCCCGAGGCGTAGGCTACGTCGTCACGTCAGCGCGGGAGAGAGAAAGAGAGGAGCCGACTCGGCAGAGACTGGGGGACGGGGCTGAGAGAGCGAGAGAGGGAGGGAGTGAGCCAACGAGCGTGCGAGCGAGGAGGAGAAAGGCGGCCACTCGAGCTTGAGCGGCCGCAGACGGGAGTGGGAGCAGTGGGGGAAAGGAGCAGGGAGGGGAAAACGACAGGCCGAGACAAGGCAGACAGAGGCTGGTGGTGTGGTTGTAGGGGGAAAGGAGGAGCTGGAGGAGGGCACGGGCTGAGGGAGTGAGTGAGGAGCGGACGCGCGAAGGGAGGGGAGGGAAAGGGGGGGGTCACGCGGGCGCGCGCGCGCACCGGGAGCGCGCTCGGAGGCGAGTGGAACTGGATCGGGTTTGCTGCCAGCGGCGTGAGCTTCGGCCGCCATTTTACAACAGCTCCACTCGCGCCGGACACAGGGAGCAGCGAGCACGCGTTTTCCGCAACCCGATCTCCTCGGACAGGATTCCTCCGCCGCAGCCCAACGGGGAGGTAACGACCGCCAGGACTCGGGTCTGGGAGGGGAGTTCAGTGACAATTGTGGAGTGAGCTGGGGGAGGGCGGTGCGGGAGAAACCGGCTTTTCTGGAAAATGGATTCCAAGGGGGAGAGGAGCACGTTGACTGGGGCTGCTTGGGAGTAGGCCGCGGCCCGCACCGCCACTTCCTCCTCTTCTCCATGTGCTGCCGCCGTTCTGGCTTTGTCTGCTGCGCCCCAGGGAGGAGGCACCCCCGCGTCCCCGTGGCCCGCGAGGACCGCGAGCGGCGGCGGAGTTGGTGCTGTCGTGGCCGTCGCCGCGGCGTGGGAGTGGGCGGAGAGGAGCCGGTTCAGTCCAGCAGCCGCGCGGTGGGCTTGGGTGGTGCTTGCAGTCCGGCCGGCGTTGGGCAGTTCGCGGAACGCCCTCACGCCGCCGGGTTGTCGGCCCTGGCCCGGGGGTGGGACAGCTGGCCCGGGCGTTGCAGCCACTGTACGGACGGGAGAGAGGTGGGGGCTTGAATTGCGTCCCGCGTCTCTGGTCTCGGTGGGGCAGGCGGGCTGCCGGGGGTCGCCGGCGCCCGGGGCGGAGAGAGCCATGTGTCACAGCGGAGACGGCGGCGCTGGGGGGGCGGGGAGAGCCTGTGGCCTGGTGCCGACGCGGCTCCGGTGTTGAGGGGTGAGATTGTGCTGCTGATGCTTTCCGGGAACTCCGACCGCGGCTTCGGATTGATGTCGGGAGCCGGTGATGGTCGTCTTGGCCGGGGACTCGGTGGGTTTCCGTTGGAGGAAGTTGTAGGATATTTGAAGGCGCAGAGCACGTGTTTCTAATGGGCTCCTGGTGGCCGCGGCGGTGAGGCTGCCGCTCTGGGTGCGGAGTCGGGGGCGGGCTTTGGGATGCGGGGGTGAAGGGTGGAGAAATTGGGTGGTGGGAAGGTAGCTTGTGTGAGCGCTTTGTTCTTCGCTGACTGTTGTTACTGATCTATAAGGGGCAGGCGGGAAAAGCGCGCACTTTGGGGGTTTACCTTTGAGAGGGAAAAGCCCAGCTTTGCTTTATCCACACACCTCATTCTCTGGGCACAGCAGCGTGTGGCACGCTGGCTGGTCCCATGCTGATTGGGCTCCATTTGTAATGTGGTTTTTCCTAGGAAGTGTTAGCAGGTGAGTCAGGGGTGGTGCTGAGGAAACATAAGTGTCCCGCGCTCCAAATCAGGCTTGTCAGGCGATAGTGACTTTAAGGCTTCTCTAAAGGGAGGCACAGGCTGGCTAGTGAAGAAATTGGTAGAGAAAGTTAAGATTGGGGCTCTTATATTGTCCTCTACCCTATTTGAAGATCCTAGTTTAATTTTGCTTATTGCGTTTGAACAGATCTCTGGAAACATGGCTACAGAACATGTTAATGGAAATGGTACTGAAGAGCCCATGGATACTACTTCTGCAGTTATCCATTCAGAAAATTTTCAGACATTGCTTGATGCTGGTTTACCACAGAAAGTTGCTGAAAAACTAGATGAAATTTACGTTGCAGGTAAGAACTAACACTTGCAAAATTATATTATGAAATTTTTCTATTGGATTTCTAGCTTTGAGCTAAAATAGCAACTTTTTGTGGTTTCCAATAAGTGTGGGAACTGGAGTTTTGTTTTGCCTTGTTGTGATAGTTGTCAACTAGAGGTAAGGTGTACTGTATGTAGAGGGAGGGAAGAAGGGTTAGGTAAAATCTGGCTGGCCAGATGGATAAGTATATGATGGTAGCAACAGCTGCTCAGTGTTGGGAGCAGGCCATGTGACTTTTTGGGGGTATTTTTGTAGTAGGATTTCTGTTAAATGATTTGATAACTATAGACTTGTAGTTTGTCTTGGTGTGGCTCTTTTTTCTAGTGGTTATTCGAAATGGAGTAGAGGTTTGTTAGTCATGCTCGGTATTTTGTTGGTTGATTTTAGAATTTGTAAGCTTATATATTTAGTGTAGAAATACTTAGTATTCAGAACTTTCTGGCTTAAACACAGAACAAGATGAGAAATTGACTCATTGTAAGTGTGGTTGAGAGGCCTTATTTAGTTTACAGTGCAGTATAGAATGGCCAAAGTATGTGTGTTTTTCATTATATAGATAGTAAGAGGAATGGAAGAATACTTAGTTGGCATGCTTGCATCTGTACTGGTAAACAGTGGTGTTTTCTTTAAAAAAATTAAAAGGTCCAAAAATGTTAAAAGTTGACAATTAATTAATTTTTCTCTTCTCCAGGGCTGGTTGCACATAGTGATTTAGATGAACGAGCTATCGAAGCTTTAAAAGAATTCAATGAAGACGGCGCATTGGCAGTTCTTCAGCAGTTTAAAGACAGTGATCTCTCTCATGTTCAGGTAACATTAATGTCAGTGTAAAAAGAATAAAAAACTTGAGTAGTTTTGATATACTTTAAGTTTGACATAATTGATACAGATGAGATAGTTATTAAATATGTTTGGAAATTTTCTTTGCAGAACAAAAGTGCCTTTTTATGTGGAGTCATGAAGACTTATAGGCAGAGAGAAAAACAGGGGACCAAAGTAGCAGATTCTAGCAAAGGACCAGATGAGGCAAAAATTAAGGTATGTCTTAAAAAAACTTTTTCCTCCCTTCAATTTTAAAGTTCTTTCAACTATTTTCTATCTCTGGTAAATATTCCTTGGTTGTGAGATGGGTGTTCTTTTTTAGATGTTGAGAGTTAAAGACCATGAGATAGTTTGCTAATCTTTTCTAATTACTATTTTTTGACGTTTCTTTTCTGTAACTATTTGTTTCTAAAACAATTTGATGTTTTTAAGTTTTTTTGTTATCCACTTACTGAAGTTAAATCTGTGGTGTTGGCATTTTAAACAAAAAATTTAAGGAAATAACATCTACTATGTTTTTAGGTGCTTTTTGAAAAGCTGCAGATCCAGCTTTTACTGACTGGAACCAAAAATGGGAGGGGATCTGTTCACTCCATACTAGTGGAAAGTGTACATTTAGCAGTTAACTGCTTTTCTTAGGATTGTCAAAACGTCAAATGAAATGGATTTAGAATTTTAACAGTGCCTTCTTCCCTCTCCATTACTATGGATTATTAAGGCTAAATTGTTCATTTCTAAAAAGCAGTGTGGAAATGTAAAAGGAAACTGAGGGCTGGGAGTAGAATTTAATTTTTTTATTTTTTAAAATCGTATAGAATAGTTAATTGCCTCAGATTCATCTAGGTTTTGTGTTTTGTTGTTACTTAGTTTTGTTGTTTTTATTTCATAGAAAATGGGGGTGATCATACTAGTTTTAACCTGGTGCTCTTAATACAGTGTGCGAATGCTCTTGAACCAAAGGTTATGGTTTAAGATAAATCAGTTATTGACAGTTTAGGTGTTGGGTGGTGTTTTAATGGTATGATAAGAGCAAAGCTTGGAATATGGAGTTAGCTGTTAATGTCATCCATAAATTTGAGGCTTTTCCAGGACTAGCTGTGAGTGAATTGTGTTTCACCTATAAACCTAATTTTTCCACAGAAATTTTATCAGTTGTAATTAAATGTACATTTGGGAGTTAGAATTATTAAACTTTTATTAAAAACTTGGTTTAATTTGTGTGTGGGGTTTTTTGTTTTTTTTTTTTTAGTTCTATGAAAGGGAGTGACTTAAATTGTGGCAAGAAGGCAGAGACATTATTATAGATGGTTCGACAGAATAAGTTTTACCTTTTTGTTTTTAGGGCTTGACATAAAAGGTTTTATTTAGGTCATATAAAGATTAAGGGCAAAGAAGCATAGGAATTACATATGTGGAAAAGGGAAAATGAGCCATTTAATGATTTCGTTTATGTGACAGTAATAAATGAGTTTATTTTTGTTACTAACCCAATGTTGCACCTTTAAGCAAACATTTGGGTATAATAGAAAAAGACTGCTTAATATCTGTAGTGCTTTGTAGGCCTTTTTGTTTTTGTCATTTACAGTATTTTCTCATAAATACTTAATATTCTTTGAGTAGAAAGTTTCAACTCTGTCTCGTCATTTTCATTTGCAGAGACTGAGGTGACCCCAGATCATTTACCAGCATTTTGATGTTTTGTCATATGCCTGGTATTTCTTTTTCTTCCAGAATTTATCAGCTAATTATTAGATTGGCTTTATTACTTAGAAAATGAGTTTTGTGCTTTGTGGTTTGAGATGATGGAGAAGAGGAATAATTCTTGGTTTTTTCCTTAGGCCAATGGTGGACTACTTTCTAGTACTTTTGCCTATAATAAGGGATGAAGAGAAACTCCTAATGCTCTGAGTAAATATGAGTTGTGTAAGTTTTAACAGTTCACTTTCAGGGAGATAAAATGTAGATACTATGTCACATTGTTGCAATTTCATGAAGTTTTAAAAGTCATTTTGGCTCTCATTTTTTCTGAATGATCCATGCTGTCCTGTGAAGCATGGTACTTGAATATTAGATGAATAAGAGGTTATTTTTCCTGTAGCTCCTAAGTTTCTGGACTTGAGTGTAATTTCTGTGAAGGTTGGCCATATGCCCAGAATGGCATCGTTGTACCTAGGAGTGTGGGGTATAGGGAATTTATTGGGTAAGAAATCCAGACTTGGGAGAGCTAACTTATCCTGCTGCTCCCTCCTTCAGGAGAGAATTAAACTCAACCAAATTAATGTGCAGTCATCTTTTTTAGGAGGTATTAGCAAAATAGGTACATGGTGCCTTGGAAGTTGTTGATGGATCAATGTTAGTTTTTTTGTTCACTAAGCCACTACTCAATAATCAGAGACCAGCAAATAATTTGAACAGGATCCTGAGATTTTTTCACCATGAATTAGAGCTATTACAAGTGTACATTAGAGAGGAAATTCTAAGACACCAGAAACCTGTTTTTAGGGAATGTTACCAAGATAATTGGGAAGATTTGAACAAGATTAATTTTGATTTTCAGTTGCTAAATGCATGAGTGTGGTCTTGTGAATTAAATGTATTAATGACATTTGAATTCTTCAAGGCACTCTTGGAAAGAACAGGCTACACACTTGATGTGACTACTGGACAGAGGAAGTATGGAGGACCACCTCCAGATTCCGTTTATTCAGGTCAGCAGCCTTCTGTTGGCACTGAGGTAAAGAAACTAAAAACTTGTACCTTTTGTAGTAAATGCACAAATGTCTGGTTTCCTAAAGAAACTCTCCATGGTTTTTACTTCATATTTAATTTACAGATATTTGTGGGAAAGATCCCAAGAGATCTATTTGAGGATGAACTTGTTCCATTATTTGAGAAAGCTGGACCTATATGGGATCTTCGTCTAATGATGGATCCACTCACAGGTCTCAATAGAGGTTACGCGTTTGTCACTTTTTGTACAAAAGAAGCAGCTCAGGAGGCTGTTAAACTGGTAAGTTTTTTATTTCCTTCAGTCTTCATATTCACTATCTTTAATTAAAGCCAGATTTTTTCTTATTGTGCCTAAGGGTTAACCAAAGGTTTACGAAGTGCTGATTAGGCATTGCCTTTCACATTCTCTGTGTATATATACATTTTAGCAGTATTTTTGCATGTACAGTTGATCGGATTCAGGATTCATAAGGTAGTATGGCAGAATTCCTAGTTATTGGTTCTTTGAAACATCTGGCTTAGTTATTTTTTTTAATTTATAGAAATGTTAAAAGATTTAGGAAAGTAATTGTAGTAGACAGGGCTCCCATAGTTTCTGGCCATATGTAGGTTATCCCTTTTTCAAAAATATTTCACAGAGACATTGTGATGATAAATTTCTAGTTAATGAATTAAATGGTTTTGTGGTAAGTGGCAAAATTTTATTTGAAAATACCAAATGTTATGTGGGGACCTAGTTATTTTCCCAACTTAAAAAGTTTTAAAGTTTCAAATCATGGCTTTTATAACCCTTCCTCAAATTAGTTTTATTACATTCTGTGAGTCAGGTTTCTATATTTCGTAAAGATGCTGAGGTTTAATTTCAAACCAAGACATGTAAATGGTTCACTATGGCAGATGTTTGTTCAATTTGCTTTATCTGCCTGCCTTATATGAGTAATTCTAAAGGCCTCAGATTTCTCCTCCTGAATTTTATTTTTTCTTCCCTATTAGAAATATTGCATTTTAAGGCATACTTTAAGGAGAAGAAAAGTATATTCTGCTTTGCTTTCTATATTGCTTGAATCTCTCCATTGGTGTGTATAATTGAATATGATAAAGGTTTAACGTTAGAAAAGTACGCTACTTGGAAGAGTATAGGTTTCTTTAAAAAAAAAAAAAAGAATTCAGTAGTGTAGGTATTTTTAAATCATTGCTGATTTTTTCCTTTTAAAGAATGCTTCCTATTTCAGAGGGGGTTTAGCTCTCGGGAGCCATTCACTGGTAACCTTGGAGCTGTCCAAATTTTAGTTTAAGCAGTTCAGGTATAATTAAAGTCTTAGTAAGAGTTCTGGAAAGATACTTTATAAATCATTCAATTTAATTTATGAAAGAACATTTACGCCATGTAGTAATAAAGTAGCAGTTTCAATGTAGAAGTGTAGAATAAGAAGGCAGTGAGGGTAGTATCTTACTACAAAAAGCTAGTATGGAATTTAGCCCATTTCATCTACTATATAAAGTTTTAATTTTTTTAAGCATAGTTACTTAGTATTATGAGTAATGATTTATTGACATTTTTAAAAGGAATCATTAAAGTAACATTTGTAGCCTGCTTAATTGTTCCTACCAAAATACACTAATTATGGGGTCCTCATTAGAGCTTGTTTCTACATAATTTCCAGAAACCTTATAGTAAAGATAAGGTCATTGGGCCCTTGAGCCACACTTCTCTTGCTCAGGCCTGTTTCTATGTCTGGAAGTGTACTGTTGCTTTATCCTCCCTTCCAATAAAGCTGTTATTTTGCTGCTGTAAAAAAACAAACAAACAAAAACTCAAACAAAAAATCATTGGAGGGAGATGATACGTAATCTTCAGACTAATGGTGGACTACTTTCTAGTACTTTTGCTTATAATAGGATGAAGAGAAACTCCGTGATGATTTTGAGTGCCAGTAAATACACATGAAATATGTTTCAGTTTGGACAGTTGCCTTGGTTTAACAAAATAATGTAGTCTAAAATTGCATTGCTGTAGGCTTAGTGTATAGACTTAGTAATATAGTCAGGTTTTTGAACTGCAGTGCAGAAGTTTTCCATAGGTAACCGAAGAGCCGTTTTGATTGGTCTAGGAACTAACTTTTGTCCTAAACTTTTTAACATTTTTTTCCTGGGTTTGTGATTTTGAGTCCTTATCTGGGGGTGTGCTTATATTTTAATGCCTGATGAATAGGAGGCTTTGCATTTGGTGCTTTTTCATAGATAATCTTAGTGGGAGTGGTATACATCCAATGTGATGAATTGGATGTGTTAGCCGTTGCTTTTTTAAAAAGGATGCTTTATTGTGACTAGAATTTGATAATAATAGAATTGAGAGATTTGCCTTAATTCAACAGTAAAAGAATGGACTAGACTTTTGAGGAAATGAAACATTATGGAGAAATAGAAAACTCAAGTTGGATGTTTTAGTGCTTTCTATTTATTTGAGGAAATAAGTACCTCTCTCAAGTATATTCCTTAAGGGACCATACTTTGAAAACTATTCCTAATTGTGTCATAGATGAGTGTCTACTCAAATTACAGCTCTATTCAAGGTGATTTTTTATGTAAGATAATTGACCTGTCATTCTAGTTGTAGATAATCAGATGTTGAGAAAAGGCCTCTTTTGCATTATTTATGGATCAGACGAGATTGAAGCACCCTCTCTTTTTTGCTTTCCTATACTTTTGAGTGTCTTTAGGAATACTTTAAATCATAATAGTTTATGTATTTGGCCTTTTTGATGTGATTCAACAATTTTTCTCCTAGATTAAAAGCTATTATAGATTTTAAATTGGCATCTGAATTATAAAAATGAGATAATTGATATTAACAGCTGAAGAAGAGGTGTGAAGTTAGAAAGCAACTGCAGGCTTCTTAAATGACCCTATTTCCAGCCAATATCTGCCTTGTATTTGGAGGAATAAAAAATTTCATCTCTAAATGATGATAATCTAGCTAGGGAATCAAGATCTAAATTTGCGAAAAGGTGAATAAGTAGCTACTACTTGAGTGCTTGCTATGGCACAGAAGCTGTGGTAGATGCTACATTATTACTTTTAAATTACCACTTTAACTCTTTGTTCAAGATAAGTGATATTACTTTCATTCTGCAGAAGAGGCTGCTGGCTTGCCTGAGGTCTTACTGCTTTAGTTTGATACCAAGTTTGTTTAGGAGTGCCTTTTGTTAAGTAGACATAGCAAATAAACCCAGCAGTATGGTTTGTCACCTGGTAGACTGATTCTTTATGTAGTAGTTTAGGTAGTGTTGGAAGGAGCTCAGGAAGTCCTCTCTCTACTGCCAAGATATTTTTGGCATCTAAAACCTTTTTACCATCTTCACTGTTACCACTCTGGTCTAAGGTACCATTCAAAGAATCCGCCTAACTAGCTAGTCTCACTGCTCTCCATGGCTCCTTTAACGGTCTTACCATTTGGCAGCGTAGATCACAACATTTCCATGCCGAAAACTAATAATGGCTTCCAAAGGAGGCCCTATCTGATAAGTTTCTTCTTATCTCTTTCTCCTACTCTTTTTTTATTACCTTTCTACTTTGCCTATTTTGTTCTCCACCTAAGCTCTGACCATTTCCATCTTACGGCTACCTTCTGCTTTCTAATACTTCTACCAGTTATCACAGATGCTGCCGCCTTATCAGTCTTTTTAGGCGACTTTTCCTGACTCTGAGCAGCACCCATCTGCCCCATGACAGTAATCTCGAACACGATCAAATAGAATGCTTGGGTGTACTTAGAATTATTTCTTGACTTTATAAATTATTTGCTTATCTCTCCATCAGAATTTTTTTTTTTAAACCTGTATTCCCCTACATTTAGAAGAACAGCCCCACTGTATAATAAGTGCTGGATAAATAACCTGACTGGATGACCAGTGCCATCTAATCCATTATTTACAACATAATTTATAATATTCCCATATTAGCTATGGGCCATTTGCTGTTTAAAGGTTTTTTAGCTTCCTTTTGCAATTATTCTGTGCTACCTTCAGTCACAGGGATTATTGCAGATTGATTGGGGCGGGGCAGGTGGGGGAGTTGAAGCTTTACCTTTTACTCCCTGGGGGATATTTGGAAGTATATGTAGTATTTGGTGTCACAAAGGCTAGGGGGAAGGACAGATACTATACTATGCATATATATTTGTGTGGTATGCCGCTGGAATTGGAGCCTAGGGCTACTGGTGTTGCAGTGCCTATTAGTCCTACGTAAGTTAGAAACATTTGAGTAGTTGATGTCTACTCACATTAAAAATTATGGTTTTATAGTTGCTGATGGTTTTATTCACCAAAGTGGTTATATATATATATATCAGTGTAACGTGTGTAGACATTATGAACAAGCTGTGGACAGGATTGGCCCACAAAATATTTTAGTAGCAATTTAGCAGATATTTAGTGTGTTTAGCATGAGAATTTTTACTATGGGCATATTTACAAGGTAGTTTGATTCAACTATTTAGAATTTACAGGACAGGAGTTTACAATTAAAGTGGAAGCAGATTGTTCAAAGGGTAATGGAAAGTGGAAGCAGATTGTTCAAAGGGTAATGGAGGGATGAAGGGGTAGATTGCTTTGCGTTGGGATTGTTAGAGGTTTGTGATAAAAAGATTTGAGCAGGACAGTGAAGAAAATAAATGATTCTAGCTGAAGCAGTGTTTTATGGAAAGAAGTAGGAGATAAAACTTGTATAAAGTCAGTGCCAGAAAGCATTAGTCATTACTGCTGGGTTGAGTTGCATAGTGCCATTAAAATGTTGATCATTGGTATAGGTAACATGATGTAAATCGTGGAATAATGAAGAATGTTTGGATGAAGAAAACAAAGGCCACAGGAGAGGCAGCAATAGAAAGAGGAGAGGTCAAAGATTTTTAAGAGAGAAATAGTAGTAGTAGCAGTATGTTGTTGTAGGTTCTATTCCAGTTTTTACCAGTGATTTCAATGAGGGCAGAGTTGGACTACCCTTGAAACATTTGGTGACTTGAATCTGCAAATAGTGATAAATGTCCTGGGTGACATAATCAGGATTTGAAAAGATTTTTATAGCTTGGGACAGATAGTTTACAGCAGCAAGATGAGTAGAGACAAAGACAAGCCTCATACACAACTAATATTACAAGCTGTAGTGTGTGTCAGCAGAGTGGTATGGTTGCCAAATAAGTTAAGGTAATCATGGACTACATGTTATAGAGGCATGGTATCTAGAAGTGAAAGGTTAGTAAGAGTCTCCAGCTTATTCTAGACACCTCAGCTTCATTCTGCATGTACAGTATTATGTTACTGGATGTCACTATTTGGTGACACTCTTGGAGGTACTTTAGTTTGCCAATATCAGGGAAGGAATGATTAGCCAAGCATAGAGAACAGTTGAGTCATGATGAGCATTGTGTACAGATATATGAAGTGCTGTCATTTGGGGGGAGGAAAGAGACACTAGAATTTTTAGGGAGGCAAATTTGGCTCAATATAAAGAACACTTTGTAATTAAGAAATGTTTAAAAATAAAGCGGACGGGCTTGGCAGGTAATGGCTTTGCTGCTATAAGAAGAGTTCAGACCAAGCAACCACATCTGGATCAGACACCAAATCTGAGATTGCTAAATTTTGGGGGGATTTGGTGACCAGCTATGAGGGAAGGAAAAAGTGACTTGATGTTTTGAGCCTAGCTGACAGAAATGTTCCAAACTATACAATTCCTGTTTTGGTATTTGAAATACTGAAACAGCATTGATTAATGTTCACAGTTCATCTTTCTTTTATTCGGTCACCTCACTTTGGTACTGGATCTGAAAGCTAGATTTCTAAAACTTAACGTCAGTGCCCACCTTCCTAGAGTTTGGAAAGACCTCATTTAAAAAAATTTTTGAAACCATCATAGTGTCCTGATGTACTAATTCTTAATTCTTGAGAGTTAGGGTTTATTAGCAAATTAAAATCTCTTACGGTTCAGAACAGTTTTTGTTATGCCCTTCTGCCATCTGTCACCGACCTGCTGGGATATGAAGTTTAGTTTCGAATTGAAAGTGATAGATAAAGTCTTTAAAGAGTGAGAAAAGTTAAGTCAGATATACATGTGAAAGTGCGTGCCTAATCTGTAGATGGGAGATCGGGCATTGCTTCAAAATGTTTGTTTATAGGTACTTTTGCTTTATTTGAATAATATGTTCAGAGGGTCGCCTTTGCTCCTTTAATGACTTATTTTCATTGGAGAGCCAATTTACTCATGAGTTGGCTAAAATTATCTCGTGTTTTTTTTTGTTTTTTTCTTTTTTAGTTAAAAGGGATGAGTTGTAGTTTACTTTATAAATCTTGCTAAATCGTCATGTCATTAATATTGTTCAGAGATTATAGCCATCCTAAATACATCTTTTACTTACCCTTCCTTGAGTAATCATAGCAGGGCTAGTTATAGATTAGAAGCAAAGAACTTTTTCTTCTGGAAATAATAATGGAAACAGTCATTATTACTATTTTGTTATATTAATGTTGATGGAAGTGATATTACCAAGAATTTTAATATTTTTACAAGCTTGTTTTTTTAACTTAGGTATTATAGTAAATAGCTCCTGCTCTTAGAACATTTGGAAATGAAAATAGAAAAAGAGGAAAAATTTTACCAGATCCTGTTATCTTCAAAATAACTTGTATTTCTTCCTTTAAACACTCTATTTCCTTCCATTCTTTTTTTTGATATTTTGTTTTTGTTAGCTCCTGGAGTTACAGACTAGATTGAAAGCCATTGATTTGTTGCGAATCTATTTGCTGCTAGATTATAAAAAATCTAGGGAATATACATGTCTTAAAACAATTTATTGTTTATTGTTAGGTTAACTTATTTGTGAATTTAGGGTATTGTAATTTACTTGTCTGTAATCTCATGCAATGATGGATTCATCCATAGCTCTGTTATTTGCAGGTAACCTGTATAGTTCTGCTTTTAAGAAGTTTTTGATCTAAATAAATGTTATGAGAAAACTGTGACACAGTTTCTCAGCCCCAGATAATTTTTTGTCACGCTAGCCTATTCTGTGAATTACAGGGTGTTCAGTAACATCTCTGGCCTCAACCTACCCAATAAATACCAGTAGCAAGCCCTCCCACCCTTAGTTGACAACCAAAAATGTATATAGACATTGTCATATGTCCCCTGGGGTGGTAAAACCACTTTGAGCACTATTGGTCTATGTTAACATATAGAATGGTGGTTTTGTTTACCTTTATAGGATTTAGGGATTGTAGAGTATTTTGATGGTTGAGCTCTACAAGTATGCTGAGGAGTTTGGATGGTGGAAGTTTGGATACTACAAGTATGCTGAGGAGTTTGGATGGTGGAAGTGTCAGGGAAAGCATTTTATTCGGAGGCTTAGCAGTCTGAAACTGTTTGAGAAATGATGTAAATAGCTTAAGATTATAGTATTATGGCGAGAAAGAGGAAGTGCTAGGGATTTTAGAGTGGACTTGTATGATGTCCAAGCATTTGAACTTTACCTTTAAGAGATTTTTTTCAATGGGTAAAAATTGTGATTATTGAAAAAAAAAAGTCTCTGGCATAAGTGTAGAGAATAGAGAGTCCTGGGATCATGATGACCAAAAGACGTGGATTGAATAAACTGAGTCAGGGGAGTAGAAAGTACAGCTGTTCTGAACTGGATAAAGGATGTTTGAGCTTTATGTTTAATTTGAATGTCTACAGATGGAGAGAGGGACGGGGAGGGATCAATTTTCTGAATTTGTTTTCTCTTACACCTGTTAGCAAGAATGGGAATAATAGGGAAAGGGATGGTTTTCCTTTTGCTAACTTTTGCCATAAGGCTGTTCTGTAAGTTGTATGGAAACTCATGTTGATTCTTGAGTTATATAGGTTCACTTGTATGTACATTAAAGGTATATTTTGAGGCCAAGTGTGAGGGAGATTAATTATTGCTGCTGCCGCCACCATTATTACAACTTTGAAATTTTGAGGTGATTTTAACTGTAATATGTATATAATCCACTTTTCTAGATAACTTGAATCTTTGGAACTTTGGTTTGTAAATAATGCTGATTGCTACCAATCAGTATTTGCCAATTTGACAGATTGTGTTTTCCCTTTTATGGGATATGGTTACTTGAATATTAAGTTTACTTTTTACTGTAGTTTTATAGTTACTTCTGTACTTTTACTATAATGCACTTGTTTTTCTCCAACTTTGTTGCAGGCTTAATGAAAATAAAATGAGGGGAAAAGTAAGGTTGAATTCAGACTAACAGGGTTCTTCCTTTTAGACTTGTTTATTTGAAGCTGAAAATCCATCATTGCAACTTTAAGAGGTTAAGGGGAGATGGGAAAATAGATTCTGGTTAACAGAAAGGCAGAAAGCTTGTTGGTATTTGCGTGAGGATAACTGATTGACAGATTAGATTTAAATAGAAATTAAAGTATTGTGGAATCAGCCATTTTGAATGTAAGCTCCTACAGACCTGATTCCTAGTGATAATAAGTTTCCTAAATTTCAAGATCTTGAGGTTTGTTTTTTTTTTTTTGCATTAATTTAATCCATAAACTTGTTCAGTATGTTTTGTCAGTACAGTCTTTGTATCTGTCTTAGATTATAATTTTCTCATACAGCACCCTAATGGTAACTATATTTTTTAAATGATAAATTCTTGAGAAACACGATGTTGAAATTCTAATTTGTTAAAAGCTTGCATTAGTGTATAGGATATGCATAGCTTTCTAAAATAAGCATTTACAATAGGATTTATAAGTATAAAAACATCGTGTACTTTTTTCCCTTTCAGTATAATAATCATGAAATTCGTTCTGGAAAACACATTGGTGTCTGCATCTCAGTTGCCAACAATAGGCTTTTTGTGGGCTCTATTCCTAAGAGTAAAACCAAGGAACAGATTCTCGAAGAATTTAGCAAAGTAACAGGTAAGTTGGATTTATTTGGAAGGAGGTACGGTATGACTTTTTTTACTGAATGTAATTGCATACTTCTATGTGACAAGCACTGTTTTAAACACTACAGTTTATTGACTCATTCTTGCTACAGCCATATGACATAGGTAACTATTTTTCAGATAAGGAAACAGACGAAGTGTTTTTGGGAAATAACTTGATGAATGTTATGTAGTTGGTAAGGAATGCAATTGGATTTGAACTCAGAATGCAGAATCATTGTACATCTCTTGTTTGGAAGATTGTATTTCTTTGTGGGTTTGTATGCATTTCTAGGTGGTAGTTGAGATTGTTAGGATTGTTTGATGTGAAGTGATTTGATTTTCCACATTATAGGAATAAGTACTCTTGATATAAGCAGAGATTATACAGTCAATGTGGTATGATTTCTTTGAACTGTAAAGCCTTTTTTTATGTTTCTAAATGACAGGCTGCTTTTATTAGAAAATATTTTCATGTGCCTAGAATGTTTAGCAAATTATCCACCTGTTATTAGTCTCCAGGGACATTTGAAATTCTTATGTAATAACTGATATATTCTATTTTATTTGAAATAAAGCTACTGATATCTGAGGCTAGGAAAGTGTCATTAAAAAGTTTTGGTGTTTACTTGTATAATAAGAAAAATATCTAACCACGTCTGACTTATACTGCCATTTTTCTAAAGCAGTTGTGTAAAAATTTTATCATTAATGGAAGCAGAATACTCCTTAGGTTTATTTTAAGAGAATATATTTTCTTTAATAGGGATATCTGCTGGGAACATTTGAAAAGTGTGAATTAGGTAAATTACCTGGAGAATTCCTTCTAAAGATAAATGATTTTTTATTTTGATATTCAAATATTAGAAAAATAAATCTTTTGATCTTCTTGCTTGTCATTTTATCTGATTTCTCTGGAATGGTTGCTTACTTTCAGAGGGTCTTACAGACGTCATTTTATACCACCAACCAGACGACAAGAAAAAAAACAGAGGCTTTTGCTTTCTTGAATATGAAGATCACAAAACAGCCGCTCAGGCAAGGCGTAGGTTAATGAGTGGTAAAGTCAAGGTCTGGGGAAATGTTGGAACTGTTGAATGGGCTGATCCTATAGAAGATCCTGATCCCGAGGTTATGGCAAAGGTAATGGCAGTCAAGTTAAATTTTTTAAGGGGTTGGTGTGGGAGAGGGGGAAGGGGAAGACTTTAGATAGAGAAAAAGCATAAAATGAATTGTATACTTTTTTTTTTTTTTTAACCATTTTTGAAAGTGAGGAAAACATTCTTTATTCAGGCCATATACCAGAAATAGTACCATGTGCATGGAGAATGAGTATAGAAATTTATTTATGGACACTTGGCCATAATTGCGTAGCTGTCATACTCATGATGAAGTAATTAGCCTACATGCTGTGGAGGTGGTTCGCTTATTTTTGTGTGGATTTTAAGAGCGATTTGAGATTTTAAGAATGGCGCCATTAGCTTACATGGTTTTTGTGTTAAAAGTCCTGTTCCTAAAAATAGTGAACTGTACTGGCCTCAGCAGAGCTGCTGCAGTTACAAGGTTTAGCTATTATTAGGTATCCTGCTTCAGCAGTCAGTTGAGACATCCTATGAGAACAAACATCTCTTGAGTCAACATTTTACTCAGTAATGGTTTGCAGTTAAGTTATTCTACCTTTTTGTCTTTAAGAATCCCTATTAATGGTTATAGGCTAGCAACTACAACTAGTTCACTTAAATCAAAAGAAGAGTAAAATGCTAGAACTGTGAATATTATGAAAGGATGAGTGGTCTTGAGGATGAAGATAGTTTGGATTCTTTTTTTCTCTGGCCTATTAAGCTCTCATTGGGTTATTAGTACTTCTTATTAAGAAATTTGTATGCTCTTTCATGTGTTAGGAGGAAGCGATAGTTTCTTGGCCAAAAAAGGGCACATTTTATAGTTGTCCTTTGAGGAGCATACAAGATTGCAAGAATTGACCTTAATATTTTGAACTCTCTCCCCCTTTAAGATTTTAAAAGCAGGTCCTAATTAGTTTTGACCACCTGTATTGTGTTAAATGTTCAACAGCTATCTCATAGGGCATGGTATTCACATTGTTAGGAAGTAACCTTTATTTTCATTGCAAAATAATTACTAAATAAAACTACAAAGCATATGGTGTTTTTTGTTTTTCTTTTTTAGCAGAAAGTACAGAGTTACCATATATCCTCTGCCTACACACATGCAGACTTCCCTTGCTGTCAGTATCCATACCACAGTGGTACATTTGATACAATGAGTGAACTTACATGGACACATTATTATAACTCAAAGCCCATAGTTTACATTGGGATTCACTCTTAATGTTGTACATTGTTTGAGTTTGACAAATGAATGACATGTATCCATTTTTATAGTATCATACAGAATAGTTTCACTGCCCCAAGAATCCTCCCTCCTCTGCTTATTCATCCTTCCCTCCCCTCTAACCCCTAGCAACTATTGATCTTTTTACTGTCTCCATAGTTTTGCCTTTTCCCAAATGTCATATAATTGGTATCATGCAGTATGTAACTTTTAAAGCTTATCTTCTTTTATTTACATTTACTTTTAAGTTTCCTCCATTGTCTATTCATACTTGATAGATCTTTTTTTTTTTTTTTAGCTCTGAATATTTCATTCCCCTACAGAAGGAATGAAACTTGGTTGTTTCCAAGTTTTGGCAGTTATTAACAAAGCTGCTATGAACATGCAGGTTTTTGTGTGGATGTGTTTTTAACTTATTTGGGTGAATAATAACAGTGCGATGGATGGATCCATATGGTAAAAGTATATTCATAAGTAGCTCCCAAACTTTTCTCCATATTGGCTGTACTATCTTGCATTCTCACCACCAGTGTTCCTGTTTCTCCATATCCTCGCATTTGATGGTGTTAGTGTTTCAGGTTTTGGCCATTCTAATAGATGTGTAGTGGTATCTCACTGTTTTAATTTGCAGTTTCTTACTGACACGTGATGTTGAGCATCTCTTCGTATGCTTATTTGCCATCTATATATCTTCTGTGGTGAGATGTCTGTCCAAGTTTTTTGCCCATTAGATCCAACAGTCATGCTCTTTGGTATTTATCCAGATGAAAACTTAGTCTTTTATTTTTCTGATATTCTTCTAATGGGTTGTTTCCGAAGTTGCAGGGTGGGTGATGGCATGTTGGAAATTGAACTCTTTGGAAATATGCAGGGAGTTTATGTTTTCTTTTAAATTTCAGGTAAAAGTGCTGTTTGTACGCAACCTTGCCAATACCGTAACAGAAGAGATTTTAGAAAAGGCATTTAGTCAGTTTGGGAAACTGGAACGAGTGAAGAAACTAAAAGATTATGCTTTCATTCATTTTGATGAACGAGACGGTGCTGTCAAGGTAAATAACGGGGAATTATTATAGGCATCTAAATTAGACTAATCATTTTTAGTCATCCTAGAATCAGAATGTTTTAAAAAAATTGAAGGAATCTCAGGCATCAGGTAATCTACTCAAGCTAACTTTTATTGGCCTTACCAAATTGTATAAGTCAAAAATATTAGTTGAAAAGCTGGATCTTCGAATAAAAAAAAGAATCCTATTTTGTCTCATCTTTTCAAAATTACTGATAAATGATTTTTTAACTTTAAATGAATCAATTGTTTTTGAAGTCCTCATATTGATCAAAACGTAATTTTTTAAGGCTATGGAAGAAATGAACGGCAAGGACTTGGAGGGAGAAAATATTGAAATTGTTTTTGCTAAGCCACCAGATCAGAAAAGGAAAGAAAGAAAAGCTCAGAGGCAAGCAGCAAAGAATCAAATGTAAGTTGTATAAGTTTTAATGTTGGTAGATTAACTGGCGATTAATAGGTGTTGCTCAAACCTGTTAAACAAATCCATAACATGACTCTACCTTTTAAAGGAGACTTGAAACCTCTGAGGCACATAGAAGTGCCAGGAATATAAAGAAATGTTTATTGATATATTGCTATTGACTATAATGTGAAAATAATAATTTGAAATAATGGGAATTTTGTATAATAAATAAAAATCTAGGATATTTACTATTATATCTTTTGCAAAATGTGCTCTTGACTATGTTTTAAGTATTAGCTATACAAGTCTTAATAATATAATTGGTTAAAGGTGGAGATTCTTCTAAAAGGTAGGAAATGTTAAACCTCCAAGTGTGATAAACTGTTTCCTTTGTATCGGAGACTTCTTTACCAATACATAATGCCTGTTACCATCTCAAAGATTTCACATACTATGCATGAGTTTTAAAAAATGGAATAAGAGAATATAGTTAAATAAGCAAACAACGTAGTTAAAACGACATAGTTATTGAGGTGAGAAAACAAGTGTGTAATGTGTTGTATTAGTAGAACATCTATAAAGGGATTACTTGCTCTTTAAAACAGTGAAGGAAATGGGTAAGGAAGAAGTTGGCAGCTTTAAAATATAGGTCGATAATGGATTTCGGAGGAGTAAGATGGATAACTACTATTTGTTGTAGGAACGAAAATCACTACTTTATTAGGCCAGTTTTCTCTTCCTTGCCTTAGGTGGGATACAAAAGAAGAGATGGGGAACTTCAGCTTATGTCTGTTTCACAATCAAGGAAGTAATCCAGTTCTAATTTCTGCAGTTGGCTGTGCAGTTAGACAAGTTGGCAAGGTCTGAGCCTCAGTTTGTTTAGTTTTAAAAGGAGGCCAGATTAAATTATGCAAAATGTCTTGTACCATGGTTATCTAGGTGATCTATGTATACTTGTTCTAGGATTAAAGAAACATACTTTTACTTGAGGCTTGGTGATAGTATAAAAGAACAAAGAGCTAGGGCTTGAAGGGTGAGGGGGACTTATGCTGTATTCTCAAACTCCTGAATATACTCTACGCAGTGAAAATAACTTTGATATCTCTTCAGAAGACAGTTAACTGATTACATTTTATTAGTGCAGTGATAGAATATAAGTGTAGGAGATTGTATTAGATTTCTAATCTGTGATTTTAGCAGTTCTAGTTATGACTTGGTAGATGGAGGGTGGTACTAAAAGGTGGGGAATGTGAGTACATCTGTTGATATTAGAAAAGAACAGGCCCAAATGGGATGACTGCATGCAATACCTGCACTTTAACTTGCTGTAGTCATTCACTATTTTTTTTTTTTAATTTAAAAAACTATAGCACACGTTGCTACCTAGTCCTCATTAAGTTCCTTTGTGTTGAGTACACTCTATTCCTCAGTTTGAGATGAGGAAACCGAGGCACAGAGGTCAACTTGGCCAAGGTTAGTCACATAGCTAGTAAGTAGTGGGATTGATTTGCACCAAGGCAGTCTGCTGC